AACTCTAAAATTTATAATCAACAATGCGGTTAATTCTGTAAGAGTTTGAGAAAACTCTTTTCTGCCTGCTACCATAGAAATGGTGTTGTTCTTATCCGGCGCAATCTCCATTCTGACAAACTTCCTCTCAGTCACTTTACTCATGTTTTCATTTTGTTTTGCTTATCTTCACACTTGGTCTCCATGTTCCTTCTTAAACAATCTGGTATATGCAGTTTGCTTTATTTCCTGCTTACAGGCATATCCGTGTATTGGGTCCCAGCAGGTCTCGCTTTGTTGCACATGATCGTCTTCATGTTGGCCGGCCAGGAACAGTTGACGACTTTGTTCTACCTCCTGTTTCAGATCTGAATAAGCTCATTAGCAATTGTATGTCTATCCGATAACTAATAAAATATTTTCTAACTCTTGAGCTTTTGTTTTAGTCAAGGCATAATTTTCAAAGCTGCGGAAAGTTAAGACTAGAAGTTGAAAAACTAGCGTCAAAATGAATTGTTTTTCATCACGCCATTACCACCACTGTGACAATTGTTGTTCATCGTTTGCGTCCATTAATGGTTCAGTTTAACCACTAATGTCAGTAATGAGGATTATAACAGGTTTAATCATATCATTCATGAAACGGATTGTAGTGCACGTGTACTTGCAGTGTCTCAAAAAAATGTGCCCAAGTTTGACCTTTAATAGGCCCTTCATTGTTTTATAAAGGAGCGTTAGTGATTCTTCGAAGGTCTAGCCTAGATTAAAATACCTGTAAACTAATTTTGTATCCCTTTTTATTATGCTGGTATAACTGTCGTAACCTAATCAGGCAATTTTCGGCTTTCTTTAGAACTATATCTGCTAATACCAGTAGTGCTTCGCGCCAGCGCTAGAGCCATCTAAAATTGTGCCGTAGTCCTATCGTAACGAACAAAGGCACATAATCCTATTGTGAGAGTAATCCAATTCTAAATTGCACGTTGGGATAGATTGCATATTGAGAAAGGTTTTTTTTCCTTGACTACTAATCAGCTGAGCTAGAGATACCTGTTATTCATATTCAAATAAAAAAAAATGATGAGGTTATCTTAACTCTTGCACTGTAACCATCACCTGCTTGGAATGAACATTGGTTGGCATCGTTTCAGATGGTTCTTTCATATCGCACTGCCAAGACCTTTCCATTTATTACAC